AGTGACTTGTGGACTGCCAAAGAAAGGAAACGAAAAGGTTTACCGGATAGTCTCAACTTTATTCCTTTACTGAATTGATTCTATCATATTTTAGGATACCCAAATTTCTCAGTTGAAAGGTAAAGTTAATGAAGATATTAAAACGTCTCTATCGCGTGTGTTTGAACGCATAGCTCTACTGGCTTTGGATAGTTTATCCAGTCGTGAGTTTTGCATTTATCTCAACTCTCAATTTCGTTTTGCATCTACTAAATCTCCACTGCTATTTACAAGTTTATTTGTTCTTGTTCTGCGTTATTCCTTGCCGTTTCCGGTACCATCTCTGCATATTTACTTTCAACTTCGTCAAAATCAGGAACGACTTTACAATGAGATTTTTGAGTAATATGTCCATCTTGAGAAAGGAAATCCATAGTTGTAAATTTCCCCTCTTTCTAGATCTGTCACGCTATCTTTTCGATAGCTCACCATCATTTCATAAGCCGACCTTTTTAAGCATCTTTGGAAAATGTGCACCGATCTCTTGTAATACAAGACGTTCTGGAAGCCGATAGTTTGGCTAAACTTGGAAAGTCAGCTGCATTGGTTGAAAAAGTTCTTGAAAAGACGGATGAGCAAGGTAAAATTTGATTTTGTTTTGCAGTTTTGCATGTTACCTGTTCCATTGTAGGTGTGAGTCTTCGTAGAGTGTGGCAAGGTAAGAATAGCTCGAGAGTATGGGAGAAATTGGTGACCACGTGTCGTGAAGAAACATTGCAGTTACTGTGGGAGAGGGTCATCACAGGACATGTAAGTGTCTCCGTATCTTTTGTTGAGTAGATGTTAGAGATGTTTAATGTGCAACTGCACATTACATCTCAAATCCGGGAAATGGGAGCTTAAGGGCATTGCCCATTCAATATTCTTTATTTCTGCAAAATACTATGTATTTAAGGTAGCCGAGCTGGCTTCTCATCCATGTGCAAACTTCGTTCTACAGAAATTCATCAGCACTGTGAAATCTTTGGAGCTGGTATCAAATTACTTCTTCAAAATATCTCATTATGGGAGTTTTTTTGAAGGCTACGGATGTGTGCCACGAAGCAACACCATTACTCTCTACATTTCTGTCTAATAGTCGATGGGGCGTTGCTGAGGCTGTGCTGCGATGTGCTGCAAAACATGAAGAATTGCAAGAGCC